ACATCATTTAACACATTTTGTAATCATTCGACTTACGAGACAAAACATAGGTACACTAAATTTTTTTGGATACATTTTAATCAGTATAATGAATTAAATTTATATTTTTTGAATTCAGTCCTTAATTAAACCATTCCAAGGTTAGGGCCCTGGACCACTAACCTAGGACCATACCAACCTTAGGACCCCCTAACCCTAAACGGGCAGAAAAGGAGCTTTTCACAGACCTCTTAGGCTGGGAATTAACCTCCATTGAAGGTTTTCTCGGACCCAACTTTTGATTTGCAGAGAATTAAATGAACAAGAGGTTTTGAGTGCATAACTAAGGAAGTATAAAGAAAAAAAGAAGAAGAATGATTTAAATTCAAATATTTCAAATGTGGTATATAATACAATAGGTAAAGAATATTATCATACCTTGAGTGTTACTTGAGACTCTTCAGGTACGTCTACCGTAATTTCGATTACAGTTGGCAGAACTGTTCATAGAATACAAATAAAAAAGAATGTAAGAGCAGCTGAATCGAAGAATAGATAATTCAGATGAGATTTTTGTATCACTCAGATAAGGTTTCTGTTTAGTGCAGAAGGCAAAAGATTTTGAACCATATATGTACATCCATTAATAGTTCTATAAGGATAATGTAATAGAGAGTGTGTGGAGAAGTGATGAAATTAATTCCAATCCATACATTTGGTATTGGTGTGACTTATCCAAAACAATAATACCAACCAAGCAAACAGGAAAGTTGAGAGCTTCTTGTAAATTGAGTTGGTTAATTTTCTTTCATTTTCTTGGAAACCAAACAAACAGAATAGAAGAAAGAATGAAGAAAGCTGAAGAGAAACTTATGGACCTTTCTCTTCTTTCTTCTTCTTGTCTCCCTTGGCTTTATTGGTTTTTGCCTTGCCTGTTTTTGGAGCCATTTTGCACCACAATCTCTAGTGTAATTTGTTATAAAAACAGGATTTCAATTGAATTTATCAAATAATAAACCTCTCAACATGCAAATTTCTCATAGAAATAATTTTTTTTTTTTTTTAAAAAAGCTCTATTATTTCTCTCCACAACAAAGATTAGACAACACAAGAAGAAAGATTGAAGAAAACTAGCACTAGACCAAGCTAAATCGAGCCAAAAAAGAAGAAATTGAATTAAATCAGTGAGAAGAAGGATTGAAGAGGTGAAGAAATGAAGAAGAAAGGTGAGTGCGGCATGGTAATGGTTTGGTGAGTGCAAAAACAAAAAGGGCAAGTGAAATAAAGATGCAAGACAGAGAGTAGAGGATTGATGGCTAAGATAAAGAGAGGGGGAATTGAAAGGCGTGGATAGGATAAGGTGAGTATGAAGCTGTTTGTACACAAGTACTCTAAAATTCCAGGCCTCTCATTTTTTTTTTTCACTCTTTGCAGCTAATGTTTCATCTCTTCTTTTGCTGACTGTATACAATAGTCTATTGCTGACTGTATACAATAGTTTATTGGAAAGTTGGGAAACAATTGGACTGATGAAAAGGGCTTTCATCGTCTGCTAGTTTTGAATTGATTGGAATTTTCAAAACCTATAAATACACACCACGTTGGACTAGTTTCCTCCCTTAATTAGTACATCTTGCAATTTTCATGTGTATTCCTCTATGAGCTACCAGTGTCTTGGTCTTTCACAATGTCTACTGTCTTGGTCTTTCACGAACCCCATAAGAGCAAAGTGACAATACCAATGTGTGGGGTTTGAGTACTATGAGTCCATGAACTATTATGTTATTGTAATTTTTTTTTTGAGTACTTGACATTTAAACTTGTAATAATGCGTAAAGAGAAAAGGCTCCAAGTTATAATTCATAGATGTTTTGTGGTTCACCAGAACCTTGTGAGATAAAGGACAAGACGTGTGATGATGGGGAAGGAGATAAGAGGAGTGTGTTACTTATCCTTTCATTATGGAGAGGCGGATAGAATGAAACCAACACTGAGGAAGAGATAAAGACTTTTTGTTTCTTTCTATTGTAAATTGCACATTTTCCCCCTACATTTGAACAGGGAAATTTTTTTTTCGGCATCTTCTCCATTTCGATTCTTTGGTTCCCTTTTAAAGGACATGTAACAAGGGTAACTCATACTCACCGAGTAAAAGTTATTTTCACCTTCAAGGGATATCTTAACTAAGTAAAAATTTTAAATTTAAATTTTAAATTTTAAAAAAGAAGTTAACTCCTAATTATTTATAACTCGATTATTATAAAATGTATAAAGTAAAAGTTATTTTCTCAACCTTATGTTCTATAAGTTGTAAACTAAATTGGTTGGTAATTTCCCTTTATAAGAAAGAAAAATTCTTACAATAAAATTTCCGGCCAACATATTTATACTAATTTAACATGAATAAAAAAAACTTATTAATCTCAATTTCCATGGATGGGCATACAATTTGACTGCTTAGCATTTAAGCTGCAGCAAAATAAATGATCAAATCTAGCAACTTGATTGCAACAGTTTGTCATTTTCGGATCAGCAAATGTAAGGTCATAGTTTCATGCTCTTCAACATTATCCAAAATGTAAAATGTTGTGAAAATTTTGTCTTCCAGGAATCTGAGAAGCCATTACCATTCTGTACTTCTATCACAATTCATGAAGCTTAGTGGATACATCATACATGGAAATACAACATACTAGAACTCAAGAACATTCCTAGCTAAAGAAAGTTCAAGTCTCTGGTTCTTTGGAGAAAGAAAATATTAGGAAAATACACAGAGGAACAACCACAAAGGCAGCAACTTTTAACAAGTCCTCGGCATCTTTTGAGATGACTCCAATCCTTGTCCAGTCTCCACTGTACCTGAACATTCAAACTTTGTTCCATGATAGATTCACAGGAGAAAAAACCCCAGAATTTTGAGTTAACCTAAAAAATCAAAGGCAGATGAGCAAAGCTTACCCTGCATCAATGAATCCTAATCCAAACACTGCAACTGCAGATCGAGCAAGAATTGTGTTAGAAACCCTTAATGGAAAAATGGGTTTTGGTTGTTGTTGCTGAGAACTTAAATTCTCTGAGAAATCTCTCTTCTTGGCCATAACGTAGAAAGCTTTTCTCCCATTTTCTCTCTCAAGAAAATATGAAGCAGGGGCTTTGAAGATGAAGCTCTTTTGAATGACTGACATTTCCCCTCATTTCTTCTCAGTAAGCCCCCAGAATCTATCCATAAAATGGTTAAACCTCAAGGGTAGTATAGGAATTTCCTAAACTCTTCAAGAATATTCCCCTCAACAGCAGTCCGGACTGTAAGAGACTATAAAAGCAGTTACATTTAAATTAAGGGAGCCTACTTATGTTGAACCCTCCTTATTTAAGAGTCCTGATTTTGCAGTCCCGTATAGTCCGGACTGCAAAACAGTAACCAAACTTTAAACCCTTGCAAAAAATTGCACCTTTTACGCTGCTCGTTGAGAAACCAGAACACGCAGAATAGCTTGAAGTCTTAAACCCTAATCATGGCTATTATAGGAACCCAGGAGTCCCCACAAGTCTACAGATTGCCGCAGTACAGGTATGTTGATGCCGTACGCTGGCTTCCGCCGGTGTCCGCCTTTGACAGATTTGCGGTTGTTGCGTATTATGACACAGACGCCGGCTCTCCCTCCGTTGAAATTCACGCCCTAAATCCAAACCCATCTCCGACCTTAACTCCCCAATCCTCATGGACTCCTCCATCGCGCATCTCCTCTCTCAGAACTTGTCCAACTCCTCTTAGCCCAATCCTTGCTGCCTCCACCTTCTTGGGTTCTCTTCACATTTTGGCATGCAATTCTGCAAATGGGGCAGTGATTGAGTCAGAGGCGTCGGTGGCGGAGTTAGGGTTCCACGCGGGGCCCGTGGCAAGCGTGGATTTGAGGGATGGTGGGAGTGAGTGTGTTAGTGTTGGGGAGGACGGAAGGGTGAATTTGGTAAGCATTGTTGGGAATTCTTCGAATCTGAATTATAGAAGGGTTTTTGATGGGAATGGACTGGTTGGGTACACTGCGGTGAAGTGGGCGTCGCCAACAGAGTTCGTTACTGGTTGCTATGGATTTGGCATTCACTGGTGGGATCAGAGGAAGCCGGGTGGCCCGGTTACTCAGTTTAAGGGAAATTGGTGAGTCAATTTGAAGTTTCCGAATGTGAATTAATAGAAGAATTTCTGAATGCATATATTTACATTTTACTAATTTTGATGTAAAAATGTGAATTAGCCCCCATGTAGTCATGTATGTTATTCTGATTAATATTCCTTTATCTTGCAGGTCTCAAGGAAAAACTTCTGGCATTATACACTCCGTTGACATTCATCCATCAAGGAAGCACACTTGTCTTGTAAGATGGCCGTTTCTCGTTTCTGTTGTTGTTATGAATCTCTGATACATTTTGGTTATTGATGTATGAATGCTAGTCTCAGGTTCTCACTTATACACATTTGATGTTGTTTCCTTTTACTTTTGCTGTCCTTTCTTTGAATGGTAAGAAAACCTTAAACTTTTCTCCTTTCTCAGATCCTTTAAAATGTTTTGATGATTGGCATTTGGCCATCCTCCAGTTTTCCTACTATCCTTCATGTTTAGGTTTTAGTGTGATTATATTCTATCCAGTTATTTGTGTCATAGCACGCATGCATTTGGTTACTGGTTTTGTGCTCAAACTAACTAACAGCCTTATGCATTTTGTTTGAGATATCTACTTAGAATATGAAATGATTCTTGATACATACTTATTAGTACTCACCTAAGAGGCTTGGAACTATTTGGCCCATATGATTTCTCCTACTGCTTAAGCATTTATTTTATCAGAAAACTGCCTAAGCCATGAGATCAAAACATGTTAGCTCCTCCTGTCTTGTGTATTTCAGCAAGAGAGGAAGAATGTAATACCTCAAATGGTTGATCGTCAACCAAAGTAATTTCTTTACCATGAATATCAGAATTGTTATGAAATTTCAATTTGCGTTTTTCAATCTGAAATATAATATTTTCTAGATTCTTTATTTGTTTCCTTGTTAGTTTTCTTACTCCAAGTGAAAGTATATATATTTGGATTGCTTCTGTTTTATGTTGGTCTTCTTATCTTCTAGTGTTCTATAGGCAGGAGGCTCTTCAGGAGTTGCATTTGCCTGGGATCTTCGTACACCACAACAGCCCATTGTTCTTTCTGGCATCGAGACAGGTGGGGCAGCAATCCATTCATTATCTGAAAGTGAGGTTTGGGAAGTTCAGTATGATTGCTATGCAAGGTCTTCAAACATTAGCAACATCTCATCTTCAAGGATCCTACCTGTTATGATGTGTTCAGAAGATGGTATCCTTGCAGTGGTAGAACAAGGTAGGCAGTTCTTACTGCAATTATTAGTTAATTGTTTGTTGTTTCTATGATGGGCAAATAGTTGTAGATGAGACTTTTATTTTATATTGCAACTTGCATTCAATTTGATGTAATGTTTTCTCTAAGAAGAAGGGTGTGGCCAAGCATGGGATTTATTGACATGTAAAAGGTTTTGAACTGCTTAGGTGAAGAACCTATTGAGCTTATGGCAGAACCTTGTGCCGTCAACAGCTTTGACATTGATCGGCAGAACCCTTCAGTAAGACATTTTTATCTATCTGTATTTAGAGTTTGAAAGTCTATAGAATTGCATCTTTGACAGTGTGTTACCATGCAGGATGTTATATGCAGCTTGGAGTGGGAGTCTATAGCCATCTTGGCAAGGCCATAATGACATCAAGAAAAGGATGTCAGAATCTTTGAATCTGTTCATCCAAGACCTTGTGCTAGGTTAAGGAGAGTTATCTCCATCCAGCAATGTGTTGCCATGATTGGATGGAAGGACAGGCATTGATTGATTTCAGCAATAGAGGTGAATTAGCAACCTTTTTTTACCCTCCAGTCTGTAACCTCAGTGTTGTGTGAAAGGAGAAACCCCTGCACTAAATTTTAGTTATATAGTCTTGCGTAGTGAAAATGGAAGAAGCAGCACCCTTGGAATGGATAATAAAGTAAACTAGATTCTTGTAATTCATTTTTCATCAATTTCATCTCGGTTAAAGTGGCTTCCTAAAATCTGTATGTTCTTGGTGAATTAGATTTCATCAGTTTAGGATTATTACCAGTTTACAACTTAAAAGAAGAAAGTCTAGTCCATCTGATCATCTGGGGATGTAACTTGGATTTCGGTTGGTTGGTCGTTTCTGTTTGGTCTTCATTCTTTGTAACAGTATCTGGGTGGTCTTTTGGATGAATTCTCAAATTAGTCTGGAAATGGGTATGAACAGGCTGCGTAAATGAGATGAGTCTCAGTCTAATCAACCAAAGCTGCCTTAGCAGTACCAAGTACGGACGGTAATTTTCCCTTAATCTGTGTTTTATTTGGGATCCCTCTCGGATTGGGTGTCTTTTTCTCATAAATTTTGGGACAACTTTTCCTTGTCTTGTACGGAATTGTTTGTATAGAATGCCAAAATTTTTATTGAAAAAGTTGTTAGAAAAATATTATATAAAAAGGTGATAAATTTTGTAGTAAAATTTATTGTGTAAATTTTTTGAAAATGTGAGAGAAAAATTTATAGGCTAAGAGTTGTATAAAAAAAATAAATGTTAAAAATATCACTTTTATAATTTTATCTTTCTTTTATTATGTTATTAGTGTATAAAAATATGTAAATAATTTTATAATAAAGAGGTGGCAACCAAACACCACCTATTTCTTCTTAAAATCTTTGTTTCCTCTTTTTTTTTTTTTTCCTTGGTAGTAATTTTGTTATTTGAAAATCAAATTGAGACTTGGTTAATTTGGAGTCTAGTTGGCTTGAATAGAGAATTTTTTGTGTTTTTCTTTATTTACAAAATTTAAATTTAAAATATTATTTCAAAAAAATTGAGTTATTTCTACTTAAATTAATAAATCATTGGTATTTTTGTTCCTCTTCTTGTCTCTATTTTCCTCCTTTCACTCAAATCCAAAGGACCTAAAAAAAGTGCTTGAAACGAAAATATGATGTTAATGAATTCAATGCAATAAATATTGAATTATGAAAATTTGGTATTTTTTAAATTTCAAACCAAGAAAAAATCCCTACCACAAACATGAAACACAAACACCACAGTAGGAACCGCATGAGGTCCTCAGCCGCAAATTAGAGAAAAGGTGAGGACTTAATTCTACCATTTTGATTTTCTTCTCTTACTTCTTATGATTATATCCACACGCACAGACCCGCCTCCACTCGACGTTGGACCGTTGTCTTCTTCTCTTGAACTTGAACCCCCAGTTTTCTCTTCTCACCTCAACTTACACTTCCTCAATGGCTTCTCTAACTTTATCCTTGACGACGTCCTTCAACTTTTGCTTCACTCCGTCGTCTACATCTCCGGCTCGACTCTCTCCTTGCTGGGTCCAATTCCCCCAATTCAACAAGGTTAGCAGGGCCTTGAGACTCGGTTCCAGTCACTGCATTTCTGGGTTTCACTTGCTTCTTCCCCACAAGCTCTGCACCATTGCCCCCATCCCTCGTAGACTCCAATCTCTCACTATTTCCGCTGCTAAAGGATACAAAATGAAAACCCACAAGGTATTTCACTTTCTCTTTTCATATGGGGTTTTGTTTTTTTGTTTCTGTCCTCATAAATGAAGGAAAATGAAAAATTTTCGGGTCTTATGTTGAAGTATCCATAGGCTGGGGTTAATGTTAGATTCATGTTCAGTCATAGAACTTGAATAATTTGGTTGCTCTATTTAACTGTAGCTCACTGGAAAACATTTGAACATTCTTGGACGGAATTTTTGTTGAATTCAATTCGAGATAAAAATGGCACCTAGGGATAGGCTAAATGTAGATGCATGGTTAGTCCCAGAGTCTGAATATTAAGGTAAAACCACATATTACTTAGAAAACATTTGAATATTCTTGGATGGAATTGTGGATTCTGTAGAAATCTGAGTTTTGTGAATTTGATTCGAGCTATAAAGCTGGCTAAATGAATTTTTTTGGGTTAATGAGTCTGGTTTTGGGATTTCTATCTGCAGGCATCAGCAAAGCGATTCAGGGTAACTGGAAAGGGAAAGATAATGAGGAGGAGAGCTGGGAAGCAGCATTTGTTGGCTAAGAAGAACACCAAGAGAAAGTTACGCCTCTCGAAAACGGTATTTTCTCCCCCTAAACTTTTCTCATTGTGGCTTTGTGATGTCTCATAATATTTAGGAGATTCTTACTGCTGGACTTGCATTCTGTTGCTATAGCTGTCAGAGTTATTAGAATCTTGTGTACACAGTTCAGAAAGAGCCAACATCCATGGGGACTTGTAGGATATGAGGGTACTTATGAAAGAAAATGATAGTTAATTAGGGTTGAATAATCAATTGATTATCCTTTTATGTTTCTGACCATGTTAAAATGGAAGTCTTACATTTTGAAAATACACAGACTGCTCACTTTACCCTAACAATTTGGTGTCAAACACTTGAAATCCACCTTCACATGACTCTTTGGTCTTTAAAACTAAAAGAAAACACCTACAGAAAACCAAAAGTATCCATATCCAACACGTTCTCTATGTCTGGACACTTGATTTTGAGTTCATGTGATGTAGTCCATGCAATGTAGAGATGGGCACAATTTTATGTAAGAATTGTCGTATGTATAATAAAAAGGTAGTGTCTTTTGCATCTGGTTCTTTCTTTTTCTCTGGTTAAGTGCTGTGGTTACATGACCTCTTCATATGTTGGCATGTCAAGGAAGTATGGTCCTTATTTTTAATAAATAAGGATTGGTTTTTTGGTGGTTTCAATCCTCAAGTTTGATTGATAATTCCAATATTATGCTGTCAACAAGAGCTTGCTCTGTAGACTAATTGTGCTGTGTCCAATCTTCAATTTTCGAAGTGCTCTTAACTCCATCTAGGTTTGTCATCTCTGATTTTGAATTAGCAGATATTACTTTTTCTTTTCCTTTGTTTCTTTTGGAGCTTTTTGGAGAGAGGAGTTTCGTGAACAATTATCCTACTTGTTTCATAGCTTGCTTAGCAAAATGGATGACACAGTGTCTCATTCAATAGGTTTCTCCATTTAACTACTTCAAGTGGGGAATACAAAATGAATGGGATATTCACTGAGTAAAGGGTGACACGTGCCGTCTATTCAATAGGTTTTTCTCTATATAATGACTGGGACATGGCAAAATCAGCTTGGCTTTTAAGAGATTTTGATGGGTGTATTCTGATTTCTAGGTATCTGATTTTCCAACTTTGTTTGGGGTGGCAGAACCCCCAAATCAACCCTTAAAAAATATTGGTAGGGACAGATTCACCCCTCAAAAAAATGAAGGGACAAATTGCTTCTCCAAATCATAAATCAAGATAAATCACTCCTTTTTTAACGTTTTCCGTTAGAAAATGCTGACGTGGTAAATAGAATTATGACGTTTTTGGTTAAAAAAGGAGTGATTTATCTTGATTTATGATTTGAAGGGGCAATTTGTCCCTTCATTTTTGTGAGGGGTGGATTTGTCCCTGTCGATATTTTTTTAAGGGTTGATTTGAGGGTTTTGCCGTTTGGGGTTAGGGGGGAATTTCTTGTTCTGGTTGGATGTCAGTGAGACAAAGGCCCATACTAAAGAACATGGCACCTCAGATCTTTAAAACATAAAAATTTGTCATTTAAGTACTTTTACCATCAACATCATCAAAGATTGTTTTGCCTAAAAGCTAAATTAACTCACAAGGACATGACCGATTGTTTCTTTGTAGACACAGATCTCTAGGTAGGATATTTTGAAAATATGCATTCCTAACTTATTTGTTTCATTTGTAACAAAACAGGAAATGTCCTTTTCTTTTAGCCATCATGTTAACCAATAACCATATTGGTAACATAACATGAGAAAAATATAAATATGCATTAAAATCTAAGTTATTTTCCGAAGTTATTACAAATATTTATGTGTCTGTTTTTCAGTCCAAAAGTGAGTTCTTATATTATCTATTTGGTTAACTCCTGCTTGCAGCACCCAGTTAGCCGGAGTGACTATGACAATGTGATTGGAGCCTTGCCGTATCTCAAAGTAAATAGAAATGCAACGTAAGTGATCTTGGTGAATTATGGATAGACGATTTTACTTTGTATGCTAATGATTTCTTACATTTATGTTAGAAAAGTGTATTACTTGTTGTGTTCTCCTGATGTAACTAGGGGGAGTTGATTTTTCTGAGTTGAAATTTCTATCTCCAAACTTCCCTTTGCTCGGTATCAACTATTTCATTATCCCATTACTAACAACTTGAGTCTATGGATCAGTGAGTGGCTGTTTTTTTTTTCTGTTAACAATAATAATATTCATCAAATGCCATAGAGGATGCATATTTTTGTGCAATGATGTACCTGAGTTGGGTGGTTTGCAAGTTTTTTTTTTTTTTTTTAATATTAGATAATAAATTATATAATGAAAAATAATTTTTTTAATTTTCTCTACTCAATTAAAACTTAAATTCAAAATTTAAAAATTTTACATTTTAATTATTTAAAACACTTAGTTATAGGTGATTTGTAAGCTATTTTGCGAAGATACTCGACATAAGTATTATTTAACTTGAGCTCTAGCTCAAAAAATGGCTCCATTACAATACCAACCCATAAACTATCAACCGCTATTGTAGTAAGAAAAATGGTGGTATTATAAAAATAATTTTTTATATAATTTTTATATATTATTAAATAAATAAATATATTTAATATCATAAATTTTATACAAATTAAAAAAATTAATTATTTAAATAACACATTAAATTATATAAAAAATAATAATAAAATTTATCCTAAAATCATTTCTCTATGAAAAATCTTATTAACCGAATAATTCTCTTTTATCTTTCGCGACGCTAACGATTATTGAAAAACAAGGCATTTCCGACTCAGTAGCCAACGTGTCAGCTTTGAAAGGAAAAATGAATTTGGGTATTTATTATTATTATTTTTTATACTTTAATATATTATTTAAATATTTATTTTTTTTATTTTTTTTAAATTTTAGGTTTTTAATTATTTTTTCTTTTTTTATTATTTTTTAAAATTTTTTTAAATTATTATTATAAAAATATATATCCTTATGGTATCGCCACTTCTAGAAATCATATGCGCAAAGTTACCGCTACAACTCTCTTCACGTGTTAAACAAGCGGATAACCCGATGTCATGTTACAAGAAACCCCGTCTGGGCCCCACATTATATCCATAAATGACTTACGTGTCCGCCAAAACAAACCTAACTTGGTTGCCCGAAATAACCAAAGCGTTTGTCCACGAGCATCTTAAAGGATGCAATAGTGATATTTTTTTTTTATTAATTAATATATAAAATTATAATAAAATCTATTATTTTTAACAATAATATCATAGATAATTTTAATTAAATAATAAAATTTTTATAAAAAATTTAAAGAATTTCCTAACCAAAATATCTATCCACCAGCACATCACCAATAATTGCACCTAACCAGGGCTACTTCAGTAATTCAACTCGCGGCATTTTAACCACACGTGCGACTGCCCAGTATGAAACTCGGCATCGGGCACGTGCTCGCCGTCAAAACTCAAAAGAGTAAAGACGCCTTCCTCTTCCGGTCTGGCATGCTTCTCCTACCTCCTCCTCTTAAACACTGTTACGATTTTATAATTAGGGTTTGCAGATTCCTCGATATTTCCTCCCCTTCCTTAATTTATTCTTGGAAAAATTCCTGATTCCGCGATTGTTAGGTGAGATCAGATTTGATTTCGGATTCGGTTGATTCATCAATGGTGCAGTTGATGAGCTCGGGGAATCATGGGCCGGATCGCGACACATCCGCCTGCCGGGACAAGTTGCCGGTGAAGCTGGAGATCGCCGAGGACCCGTTGGAAGAAGAGTACGGCCCTCTTGACAAGCGATCCAAAGCTGATACCAATCTTCATCAGGTATGTGCTTTTTAAGTTCACTTTCACCCAGAGTTAATTTTCTTTTCTTATTTTCTTTCTCGCCAAACGTTGATCGGGTTATTATTATTTCATGGCTTTTGAAGGAAACATATTCTTTTTGGTAATTTGCTTTAAATTGAATCTTTGATGGTGAAGGTGCAGTGGAATTCTGATAGCAATGGGTTCCCAATCCCGCCATCGCAATACAACCCACTGGAAGAGCCGAGTCCTCTGGGTTTGCGGCTGAGGAAGAGCCCTTCACTCTTGGAATTAATCCAAATGCGCCTCTCTCAATCTCAGGGCGCCGTATCAGATGAAAAAAATGAAAATTTCTGCCCCGTACAGAAGAAGGAGACGAAATCCATAGCCACCACTGACAAGCTAAAAGCATCTAATTTCCCTGCTTCCATCCTCAGAATCGGCAGTTGGGAGGTATCTGTTATAAATGCAGTAATATCGTCTAATTATTTGGATCTTTACTTGGAGGTCTTGGATTTAAGCGTATTTGGTAATTTGGTAATTGCAGTACAAGTCAAGGTATGAGGGTGATCTGGTAGCCAAATGTTACTTTGCAAAGCATAAGCTTGTATGGGAAGTTCTTGAAAATGGGCTCAAGAGTAAGATAGAGATACAGTGGTCAGATATTATGGCCATAAAGGCCAACTGCCCTGATAATGGACCTGGGACATTGAATGTTGTGGTAATGTATTTGGCTCATTATTATACTCTCTACGTGTCATTTCCTAATAACTTCTGAACCCTTGTGACGCGTGGTAGCCTCTTGTTTGGTGCAGCTTGCTAGGCAGCCTCTCTTTTTCAAGGAGACTAATCCGCAGCCAAGAAAGCACACCTTATGGCAGGCAGCATCTGATTTTACAGATGGTCAAGCTAGCAAATACAAGTATGACTGTTATTTTTCCTTTGCTTCCATTATTCTATGTGCTAGAAAGTTCCTGAATGCATGTTTTAGATACTTTGTTTAATGTGAATATAAGGCATTATCGTGTTTCCTTTGATCAAAATAAGCATAAACACGTGTTTGAAAGAAGAAAAAACTTTTGATTTTTATTTATAATCTAAGTTCTTAACTCTTTCTTTGAATTTTTTCTAGAGTCAGGCTGTGAGACACATGAATCATTGTTCGAATACTTTGTTATCCATTTCATATTTTCTGTGCTCCAGATAATATCCCAACGGAGTAAAACTATCTCTATCAAGACAACAGACTCATTTTTTGTACTATCAATAGGATCAATTACAACCAGTCACACACTTATATTCCAAAACTACAGAAACAAATAAATTTCACAATCGAACTACCAAAACAGCCTGGGCTAAAAATCTGAGACCGAAAAGTCTTGGTTTTTAATTTCTATTTTTTATTTATATCATATATATTTAAATATCAAATTTTTTTAATATATGGAATTTAAGTATATTCATCAACACCACACTGAAAGACCGCTACTTGATCAACAAGCTTGATAAATTGTTTTAAGTTCCTTTGAAATATGCAATGATTTTTATGGATTGGCTGAATTTTTAGTTATGAGACTGATACTGATGAAAAAATTGATTGTGGTTTTGCAGGCAACATTTTCTGCAGTGTCCTCAAGGAATGCTAAATAGACATTTTGAAAAACTCATCCAGTGCGATATGCGTTTGAACTTCTTAAGTCAACAGCCAGAGATAACATTGGATTCACCGTGCTTCGAGTCAAGAACTTCTATTTTTGAGGACCCTAGTGAATCCAAGGGCCAGGATCTTGGCCAGGTGAATACTGGTAAAGGCACTAGCTCTGGGTTCCAGAATTTAGCATCACCAGCTCCAGCTCAGTCATCTTCTTTAGAGATTGAAAATGGTGATTCTACTGGTGTAACATCAGAACCAGTGTCTCGAGAAGCTCCATCTCCTAGCTCAGGTAAAAAAATGAACTGTCATTGGTTCCTCAGGCACAAGGTTATAAGCACTGTCATTGGTGGTTTTTGACATCACTAGTGGAATATTTTGAATTACATAACAAACAAAGTAAAAGTCCACTGAATTTGTGTGTTATATATTTTTGTGTGCATGTAATTGAATTAAATTGGCATGCTGCTAATTGACCAGCTGTCTGCAGCATTTAGCATTTCCATAAAAATGAGATTATAATTGGGTTTTTTCTATGGTTGCAAATTGAACTTTGTTTCATGATTCTTTACTAATTAATTGCCCTCTCATTTAGTGATGGACACTGTTGCAACCGAAGGCAGTGGAATTTGTGAAGCAGTGGATTCTAAGGGACCAAGGGATTGGGACCAGATAATAGTTCCAGGACTTCACCCATCAATGTCCATGAGTGATCTTATAAACCACATTGAACAACAGATGGTCTCTGGAAATCCATCCTCTGAAAATACATCAGAACGCCAGGAAATGCTTGAGGAGATTGCACAATACCTTCTAAGTGACACTCAATTTACAACAGCTTCTGATGAAAAATCACTCATGTCAAGGGTCAATTCTCTTTGTTGCCTTTTGCAAAAGGATAATACTGCAGGTGCAAGCTTTCAGGTTACTGGAGAAGGCTATAATGATCAACCTGATGATGAAGATGTTTCCCAGCTGCATGGCAGTTCTGAGTCAATGCTTGATAACATAAGTAAGGTTGATATCAAGGCTTCTGAAGGGGACACGAAGGATGCATCTTGTAGCAAACCAGTAGCTGGCATGTCAAGGAAAGATTCATTGGGTGATTTCCTGATTCATCTCCCTCGAATTGCATCTCTACCGAAGTTCTTGTTTAACATTTCAGAAGAAGATGGTCAGAGTCAAGCAAGATAGTCTTATCGTTCTTCAATTATTTAGGTGATAAATTGGTTCCTCAATCTGTATCAAGTGATTGGAAAGCTTTCCGTTGTTTGTCTAGTATATATATCTAATGTCTGTGGAGATATGCTTTGTTTTGTTTAAACCTGGGACGTACAGGGATTCAGAAATTTCTTTTGATGACGAATCCCAGCACATTCCATGTGAAAAATCTTAGTAGGGGTTGTAGCAAAATTTGTTTCAAGAGATTATGAGTACGGGTAAAGGACAGATGGGAATTCCGAATTTGAATAAAAATCCTGTTGGCAATGTGCTCTCAAGTTTTTGTTCGAGTTTGACTTGCATTATACTGTTCTGGGGGAAATACATTCTATTAATTTTTAGACCACAAAAAAAAAAACCCCATAGCTAATTTGAGCCAAATTTGGCTGACAACGCTCTCTCCACCCTAATCCAAGAGAAATGAAATGAGAAAAATTACAGTAAAATTGTAATTTACTTCAGTCTATTCGAACCAATTAAAGAAGAATCAATTAAAGTTCGAAGCCTGATAAATATTCACAATTTTTTTTAATTAAAATATTTAAAAGAGTAATTTTATGTACAAAGGGGAGATTGAACTTAATTGGATCATCAGCTGTACATAGAGAAAAAGTTCAACTCCAACCAAGATCACTTATCGTCTTAAAAGTATGTACACTTGGTTTCTTCCATCATGTCTAGCCGCATGGCGCAGGGATCAGGAAGGAGGTGGAGAATGAATGGTGGTATCAGGTAACATTGCTACTGTCACTATGAAGTATTCACATCCAACAGGGAGTCCATACGGATTAGAGCTTGACTCAGAAGTCAAGCTTAACCTATCTGTCCCTGTGTCTGAGGTTAGGTGATCCGCTGGTTCCCCCCTACCATGCTCGGGCCAAGCTGATGTGGGCGGCAGTGGCTTCACACTTTGGTGTTCAATATGCACAATCTGCCCAACAATGTAGTTTGGTCGGCTTGGGAGGTGGTCGGTGAACAAGGCCACAGATTCAGAAGACAGGTAGTAGATTGAGCTGTTGCGATTTATTGCCTCGTAATGCCCAGCTGAATTAAGAACAAATGCAGCAATTTCATCGACTTCCAAGCGACCAAAAGAAATCTTTCCCTTGTTTGCCTGAAACAATATCATCAAACCACACTACATATATATTTGGCCAAAAAAAACCCACACTATATGTGACTATGGGGATCAGACATGAGAGAAATCTTAGGGAAACTACTTCAGAAAAATCAAATTTCAGAAACTGGATTGGGTCCTAGAAAGTGAAACTAGGATATTTGCAAACCACTTCCCCCTTAAGCACATAGCCCTATAGTTGTTGAGAGCTCTAGGTCAAAAAAAGGAAAAAAAGATCTGCTTAAAGACTCGTTTCATGGTTCAACCAACCTAAACATGCTAAATTCAACATAAAGTGCACATACAATTTTGGTAGGGAAGATAAATGCATTGAAGCTTGTTAAGAAGTTGAAATCAAATTACCTGCTTCTCAAGTTGATGCTTTTTATACAGGCTTTTAACGAGCTCCTTTTTCTCTTCCAATTCCTTCCTCAGTTGTTCATTTATAGCTTCAATCTTGGGGCACTTCTCATGCAGCTCACGATGCCTGGCCAAGAAACCAACTTTATCGGCAAGATCACAAATACATTTGCGGAATTCAGTGGTACCATCATCGTCACCATCACCAAGGGAACTGAAAATTAGAAAACAATGAAATTTGAACCAGCACCATTAAATTGACGTTAGCAAATTAAGAACTTACCATGTGAACACCACCACACCCCCCCCCCCCCCCAAAAAAAAAAAAAAAAAAAAAAAAAAAAAAAAAAAACCCACACAAAACTACCACCATAAAAGAAAGAAAAAAAAAAAAGAGAGAGAGAAGCCCTTCAGTGTTAAGCAAAGGCCCATGTTTACTTGTAAGTCCACATGTTCCCTTGATTGAACAGTGTGGGGACAATACCATTTTAACATTCAAGAAAATTAACTAAACAAAACTCCTCCTCCAACCAAAAAAGCAACTGGATTGAAAAACCAAGCTTTCCAACCCTCTTTTTTATAACGGGATACTCTTTTTCTAGTTCTCATGAGATTCCCTCTTGACAATAATATGCTGCTCCTAGCTTTTCATAATAAAAAATCAATTTAGGCCGCAAAATGAGAAGGGAAACCTATCTACAGAAATTGGCAGTGGGTTTCCCTACAGAAATTGGTAGTGCAAAGGGAACAGAGAATGAGGCAATTTGTGGAATATATTACTACAATGAAAGCATTGGAAACACTTCGTCAAGTAACTTACTTGGCCAGGGACCGAGCTAGACCACGCAAAGAATCTGCAAAACCAGCCACCTCACCAGGAGCACAAACACAGTTTTTAAGTCTTTCAAAGAGGCTACGCATCTTCACAGCAGATGCACGCAATGCACTATATTCAGAGGCCCTACGATCAGCTGCACAACGATTGCTTTGCGCTTCCTCTCTCGCTTCATGCAAACAATTCTCCAAGTGAGCACAGTTCATCTGTCACCAAGGAAAAGAAATCAGAAAAAAGAAAAGGATGTCAACTAAATATACATTTAAAAAAGGTAAAATACGTTGAGTTCAACTTTCCTTGAGTAGAGGCTCTGAGGAAAATTTTGAAGAAACTACTGTTATCCACATCATCAAATTTGATACAGTGGAACTGATTGCTTGCAGTAATCTTTGTCTTCACTAATTCATCTCAAACTGGTTGAGTAACTACATAACCTGTTTTTCTCCATTTTGCCCTATCTAAGCCTATGTCTCTAGAAATTCCAAAAATGTCAACCCATTCTTACCATTTCAAATTATGTGATTTCCAAGCTACCAATACATCTCTTAGTTGTTTCTTTCTAAGTAATTTTATTGTATAATGCAGCAACTGTGGATTTCTCTTACTAATGACTAAATTATCTAAAATTTCCACCATACTCAACTGATTACTTATGGTCTGCCCAAAAATCAGTGTCATAAACTATAGCTGGTTTTACACAACCACTTCCACATACTATTAAAATATGATTTAAAACTACTGAAAGAGCATAATAACATAAATACTAAACAACTGCAGGACTATTTGATTACATATAAACATTCCTAGAAAGCTGATAATAGCAGGTATGCACAAAGGCAAACAAAAGGCAAAAAGCCAAAGAAACAAAACATGCTAATGTCAGAACAACAAAATAAAATAGTAATATAACAGCCAACATAAAAAAAGGTACCAGATAATCTATAATCATTCTCTATAAAACCAGAACACTGATAATAGAATGGTTCAATGCTACTACCTGGGACTCATCAAGAAGCTTTTGACTTGTTTCCAACTCCCTCCTAAGTAATTCAACCTCATCAATAGCACTTCTGAGCCTGGTTTCAATTTCATTAAATTGGTTTGATTTGTTGGAAAGTGCGCTTTGCAACTCCAACACAAGATCTTCATGGAGTTTAGAATCTGAAACTGGCTCAACTGCTGTCTCAGGAGGTAAGAAATTCAGAGGAGCAGGCATGCTCTCAGCAGTTGAACTGTTAGTCAGGGACATACCTAACTGCCCCACCAACTTATCTTTCCCATCTTTATCAACAACTTGGAGTTGCTCACGATGCAGCTCCAGCATTGATGAGTCCAGCTGAGGATTTAGCATTCCAGAGGAATCCATCATATTTTCATCGACCCCTTCTCGAACTTTATTATTTTGCCTTGTAAAAAGCCCCAACTTTGCATCCAAGGAGTTCGAGATGCATGAAACTTCATCCATGGGCTCAGACGTAGATATGCATGGCAGATTTGGCTCACCACCTGAGATTTCTGGCTTGCAACTAACATCCTTTGAAGCCAAGAGGGCAAAGTCATTTGCTTCCTTACTGTTTATAAGCTTCTGCCCCTGCAAATACTGACCAGACAGCCTCTGCTCTAGTTCTTGTATACGCTTCTCATATGAAATACACTGCATTTGCTTTGCCTTGAGCAAAGATTGGAGATGTTTCCCATACTCATCCTTTAGATGTAAGGCTTCAACAGTCTTCTCTGCTGCATTCTTCAATAAATTATCAAGTTTACTATCATCAAGTGATTCATATTTGGTTTCAGGACACAAAGAACAAATAAGGGCTATTGCCGAAGCAAGTTCAGCCTTTAGTTTTGCATTCTCAACTTCCATTTTGCTAGTTCCAGCTATCTCTACCAATTCACATCCCTCAAGGAGATCATCAGTCTCATCCTTCTCAACAGGATCCACACCAATCTCTTCAGCATCAGCAGAATGAGAACTGTCATTGGACATGGAAAATGAGCCCTTCAGGTTACTAAACTTCTCCACCTTGCGAGGCAATCCTGCTAAATACTCAGGAGCATAATAGTCCAGGTCCGAAATGTCAATATCAAGTAAATTAGTGTCAAAAGGAGCTATATTAACATCACACTGACTAGGAGTATCATACAACCCCATAGACAGCAATATATCCCTTGGTATATATAAACCATGTGCTTTCAGAAACTCTTCTCGTTTCCTGACCTCAACTTCCCTCTTTGTCGCAAGCTTTTCAGCCAATTGACCAGCCATACCCATATAAAGCTTCATGGAAGACTTTCTTCTGACTATTTCAGCAAGGCAAGCCCTATATGCAGGGCCAATTCCACGGATCAACTTTAGGTCCATAAACAGATCATCCTGGCGTACCATTGCCTCTCTGAAAACAGGAAACTGTAACTTCGCATCTTTGATAATAAAAGATACAAATGCTATCTTTTGCATGTAATTGTGAACAAAGATGTTCATTTCATTTTTCTTATCCTTGAAAAAGTCAAGCAGCTTTGATATTGCACATTCACAAGCCTGCATCCTGGGCAGACTACGTTTTTCATGAACATCATACATACGACCTAGGGCAGAAACTGCATCATGAGGACGAAGTGAGGAGGAAAGTTGGCAAGACAGACCATCATCTACAAGTTTCTTCACTGTATTAACATCTTTGCTGCAAGAATACACATGCAAAGCCATCAGTAATAGCTATTGATGAATGTGTCCAACTAGAAAACTAGAAGACAATATAGAACATTTATGATTTAAATTAACATTATTCCTATGACTGAAAAACATCTAGATCTCAGAAAGCACAAAGAAAGGGAAAAAGGAAATCCTAAAATGCCTGAGAAATGGGTCTCTTTCTCTTCCATGGATCTAAGAAGATAAAAACTATGCCTTAGGTTCTGTATCCCCAAAGTTCAAATTCAAACAAGATCATACAGAACCAAGATCACGAAAACAATAAAACAACAGTTCAACCATGAAGCTTAGGAACATCCAAAGCATCAAGAAACCCACAAGGAAGAACACACCAAGAAAGCAAAATGAAAGCTTAAAAGTTCTGAATTCCAAGATAACAATAAAAATTCAGAAAATTTACACTGCAATGACAAAAGACTAAATTGCTGGAAGAAGAAAACTAGTTAGAAAGTCCAGAAAACTAACCTTAGAGACTGCATTATAATTTGCTGCTCGTTAAGATAATGCTGGTGCTCCTTAATTGTTAGTTCTAAGTCCCTTACAGGCAAGGAGGTCCTGAAAGAAAGTAGATCTTCCGCCTTGCACTTCACCTCAGCAAATGTCTGGTTCAGAAATTGTGTAACTTTATTCTCAAACTGCTTGTGGGAGATGCTGCAGTTATCCACAGACTTCCGCAGGCTCTCTTCCTCCACGAAATCTAATAAGCACTTGCATGCAGTTGACTGTAAGCTAGGATGCAACTGGGTAGATCTCAGTTTGTATATATCCCTTTCAAAGTTTGCCAACAAATCAGAATGAATACGATATTGCTGCTTATAACGCTTCACGAATTCTGAGCGATTTTGGCAAATTACCCTGTAGTACTGTTCCATATTACTCTTTGCTACATCCAATGCCCTCTCCTGCACCTTCTGCTCCCTCAACAGCCTTTCACAATGCTCATACTTCACTTGTGTCCGACTATATATTGCATGCCCAAGGTGGTAATGATACCTAAATTGCCTCTCATAAGAAGGTAAAGCCTTGAGAGCAGGGTCTGTGGCATCATCCAAAGGATGAGGGGTGTTGGACGAAGTTGGTGGTGGAGGGTCTGCTGCTTCAAGTCTATTAACTGACTCAAGTGGCGGTGGCTGAGAATTACCTTGCAACCTTAATCTGTTGAATATAAAAATTCCTCTTTCACTGGATGGGAGCTTATATACGGAGAGTGGCTGTTGTGGGTCAAGTTTCATGTCTGAGCACAAAACTAGCTGATCATTGAAGCTAATCCCTGAAATTGATTCAATCAAATGCATAACCGCCTCTACCAGTGTTGTTTCATTACAATCAACACCAAATGAATGCCCATTTTCTGCAATATGAACCAGAAGCTTGCCCTCATGAGCTAAATTCTCGGTCATACTGCTGGAACTCATCTTCTTAACCCAGAACCAGATTTCCCCACCGGAAAATCTCTAACAACAAAAACAAAAATGCCACCACCGTCAGATAAAAGAGTTCCAAGCTCAGACACGAGCAAACAGCACAAATTTCAGCGTCTTTGCAAGAGAACCCACCTCCAAAGGAGAAAATTTCCAGTTGTATGCCTAAAATCCTTGATAAAACCCTGACGTATCACAAATCCACCGATAAATTTTCTCAAAACAGCCCGATTTTCAGCTTACCAACAAAGGACTGAACCCAAAGAACAATTCTGCACGATTGGATGCAGCTCACAATAAAAGGCCCTAATCATACCCCTTTAATCCTCCTCAAAACCCCAACGTCCGAAACAGACCCAGCATTAGATTCCTCAAAAACAGGAAATTCCCAAGAAACCCACCAATGATTACAAGAACAAAACCCTAATCAGCACCAACACACCATCAAAACCTCCACGATCAGCCTCAAATCCGACACGACCACAATTCTTCATCAAATCATCCAGCACCCTTTTCCTTCCAAAACGGGACCACCCCACAAACAAAACTCAAAATTTAATCTTGAACGAACAAAATCAAAGGGTCAAATCAAAGATAAGATTTGGAAGCGAAAAAAAAGGAGAGAAAGAAGAGAATCAAAAAAGATTACGTGAAGCGATGAATCTGGCAGGGAATTTAGGCTTGGACCAAGGTTCTCTTCACGAAACCCTTTCGATATACATAATTTTTTATGCAATTTTTTTTTTTTTAGTAATCTACGTTTTCTTCTTTGTTTTGGTTTTTCTTTTTCTATTTTTTCTTTTTTTTTCTTTTTTTTCTTATAAAAGGAGAAAATCACAGAGAACCTTCTGCAGGAAGAAACACGGCGGCGATAGCAGAAGAGCTCTCTCTCCCTATTATCTCTCTGACGACAAGAGAAATAACCAAAGCGGCCTTCCCCTCTCACTCACGTTGGAGAAAAATGATTACTTTAATTAATTTTTAATTACTATATTTTAAAGATTGATTTTTTGATTGCGGATTTTAAGGTGTCCGGTTTGTCCTCTTAATTTTTTGACGTTTCAGTTTTGTCCTCCATGGGCATTTGCTTTCCATTTAAATAATGATAAAAAA